AACAAATTTGCACCTAAGACAAGACCTGGTAATGCAGAATGGGAGGCTATTATAGGAAAGCTTGCATTTCATTCAAACGGTTATGGAAATGGATCAATTATGTAGTTAAGATCAAGGCAGAAGAATTTTTTTCTTCAGGACTAAAAATAATAATTTCTTGAGGCATACAGTTTAAAATCTATAGCTCTTGAAACTATAAATAATGAGAAGAATAGATAAAGACAAAAATAAAATGCACATTGCAAGCTGACTAAAGCAGTCTTATGTTTATACTCAAGTAGCTTTATTAGTAATATTTATGATTTTTTTCTCAGGTAACCAGAGATAGCAACATACAACTTTTTAGTCTGTTTCTCAGCATTTTCTCTTTTCTCCTGCTATTTGTGTCTAGCTGCTTTACATTCTCTTGCTGTTTGCAAGAGACCAGAATTAAAAATAGCTATCATAATTTAAGCACCTTCTTTTTTATTTCAGCCACTGAGCTGTACATCTTACATGCTATCTCATTTAATCTCTGCTTCCCTACCCCAAATACAAATTTCCCCCCGTCCCTTTTCCCTGCCCTACCAACATCAGGTTTTGCTATGTGACTTGTGGAACCATTTGTCTATCAGTGGTTCTCAACCTTCCTAATGCCACGACCCTTTAGTACAGTTCCTCATGTTGTGGTGACCCCCAACCATAAAATTATTTTCGTTGCTACTTCATAACTGTAATTTTGCTACTGTTATGAATCATAATGTAAATATCTGATATGCAGGATGTATTTAGGCAACCCCTGTGAAAGGGTTATTCGACCCCCAAAGGGGTCGCGACCCACAGGTTGAGAACCACTGGGAGATTGTATGTTCTTGACCTATTAACTGAGGAGTAGCCAAATGAATTGCTTTGGCTAATGGAAATAAAAGTGTGGGTAGATGTTATATGCATTACTTCTAGGTAACAGCAATGAATTAGGTTTTATTTTGTTTTCTTGCTCACAGAAAACATTGCCTGCAGTCAAGAGATCAGTAAAGCACTCTAGACAGAGGCTGCTTCATCGGCCTCAGTTGTGGAGCAAAGAGTGCTAACTTTTTGAATGTGAAATTTGGCAACAAAACCCTAGCTAGCCTATTCTATAATTTGGTACTTAAAAGTGAGTGTGCCCCAACAAACACCCAGAATATAAATAGCGTGAGCTTCAAGAGTGTAGAGGGTGGTGAGGAAACAGCCATTGAATGCTGTAAGGATGGAAAGCCATGATAGGCAGGGTGAATCACTTAGCAAAACTGTGTGTGCAATGACTTAAAACAGAAACTATGTACCAAAGGATCTCATAGATCTTGGCATCAGACTTAGCTATGTGATTAGTGTGAAGGCTTATAGATCCCTACTCTGATTAGCCCAGGAGCAGTCTTATGACTTGGTTTGGCAAATGAAATGTAGGCAGAAGGGCTGTGTGTCACTTCTGGAAGAAGCAGTAAGAGCCAGTTTATGGTTTATTGTGCCTTGCTTTTCACTCTGTCAGAGAACAACACTGTCACAGATAGAGCCTACTCCATCCTTCTGAGTGGAGTGACAATGATGAAGAAAAGCGTTGGAATTGGTCAACAATGGACACAGGGTAAGATGTAAACGTTTTAGTTATAAATCATTGAATTCTGAAATTGAGCATGTGTGCAAATATAATCTAGCTATCTTTACTGATTAAATAAGTAAAGAACTTGAACAGTGCCTGGCTCTGTACAACCTGCAATGTGCCACTCAAGTATTAGATATTATTATTATTATATGAGGATGAGGAGGATGGTGATGATACAAGAAAGGAGGATTATGTAAGAAAGGAGGATTATGCTAATGGTGGAATATGAGTCAGATAAAAGGGTGATTTGGAAGGAAATAATGCTCTTGTAAGGAGAGAAGACAGCTGAGACCTTATATTTGAGTAAAACACATAGTCCTATTTGGAAGGATTGGCTCATTTTTAGAGTGATGCAAGTAGATTACCATTTCAGAGGGACAAAGATGGAAAAAGCTGTTGGACTTAACTCGTGTTAAGAATTTCAATATTGGGGAAATTGGCAACATATCCATGGGTGTGCTGGTAAAAGTTTAACAACCAGCTCTGGAGTAGGAATACATGATTTGTTGCATTTGTCCATCTCTGTGACATAAATCCAACCACCATGGCCGATTTCAAGCTGACAATGATACATAATTGAACATAGAGTTGGAGAGCGATGCACACAATGGGCTCTTGTGATCTCAAGTGCACAATGTGGCTCCAGCGCACCATTCCAACTGGTCTCACTGGCAGCAGATGAGAAAGATATAGAAACATGCAGGGAGACAAAAAAAAAAAAATCTCACCTATTGCTAACCCCAGTCAACATAAGACATTTGAGAGAAGAGCTCTGGGTACAGAACACCATCAATCAAGCAGCCAGGCAAAACAGCCTTAATTCACTGAGAAAAATTGCAGCCTCCCAAACAACTTTTATATAAAATGCAAAGAAAACACTTAAAAGGGGGAGGGGAGACACAAAGATTGTTATCTAGAAAGAAAGCACTTTGATCTCAGTCAAAACAGATTATTTTGAAGTCAGTCTGCTCTTATCTTTGAAAATATTTTCCCATAAATTCTGTTTTCCTAAATTGAGCTGTGAGTCAGCACTGGGTAGTGGACCTATGTGTGAAAATGAAAATTGGGATGCAGCTAGGAAGACCTCTAATGCTTCTGTTATTAGAAGTCTTTGGAAGAGTAATCTGATGGAAGCTTTTGGGTTTTTAGGTCTCTGGTTTAAATTCAATCTCAGTTGATCATGAGCAGAAGTGGATGGCTAGTGGCCTATGAAAGACGCCTTGATTGTGTCACCCCAGTTCTTTCTGTAGAGATGCCACTGCGATTGGCACCCTTTCTTTTGCTTCTATCAGAAGCACAAAGGGTGAATAGAAATGTCATTTCAACCATTTTCTCAGCTTTTGTACTAAAGAAATCTGAGATATGAAAAAGGCCAGCTCCTTTCATCTTTAACTCTCCAGTGGAATTATTCTCCTATAATATGATTCCAAAATCTCTCTGGGATGTATTGCAATGAAATCTGAGCTACCTCACAACTAAAATTATGTCTTACCTTATAGAAAGTTAAGTAACATATAGGTACATTCTTCAGGCATATTTAAATGTAAAACATTTAAAGTTTCTTGGCCTGATTCTAACAAATCTATTATTTATTATTCTTTACTTCTTGTTTAAATAAATAAATCTTCATATATGCAAATAAAAGAATTTCATTAAATGCACTTGTCTTAATATTTGGTTTTGGATATTTCAACATCTTAATGA